GTAGATGGCAATGGGCAAGTGATGCCACTATCACACGTAGTCAGTAATCGTCTTCTCGAGGGGGACACGGCGTGACTCAGGAACGCTCAGCGAGGAGATCGTATTTCGAGTCGCTGTGGGGGGAGGTGGTGGGTAATGGTTAGCGCTCGCCGCCCAGCAAGAGGGTTACGATCCTCGGAGAATATGAGATTTTGATGATTACTAGATATAATTCACCACTATTATTTAATGCAACCTCCTCCTTGCCCCTGCCTCTTCACCTATTCCAGTAATCAACAATTTTTTTTCCGAGAAGTGAGTTAGACGAGGCAGGGAGGTAGGCAAAGCAGGATCTTAAGAAGGGGTCATCTCAGAGAGAACGGTGGAATAGGGTTGGGGTAGGTTTTCATAAGGAGGACTAAGGCCCGGCACCGCCCACAAGACTTGGAATGGACCCTTAACCCTTCGATAATTCACCACTCTTTTTTTGGAAAAAGATTTCTATTTTGAATCTGACCGTAACTTTCACTGAGCGCTTTAATTTTAGGCTTCGAGGTTTAGTGCACGTCGGCAAGGTTGAGACTTCGGTGAACGATGACGTCACTGATCGGTTTCACATCGATGAAAACGAATGCCCAACGTTTTTACTGTAAGCATATTGATTGGTATTATTGACTATTTATGGCAAGATACCGGAATGTAAGATAGTAATATTTGCCCGTCTTTCAGATTCCATCGCGGCAAAATGTACCGCTACAAGGAGTCGGCAAAAGACGTACGAACTCTCACCAACTTTGCTCTTTTCAAATTCAAAGAGCAGCGAGGAATGAGGTACGGTAACCAATGTTTAGTCGCTTGATGGTTCCACAATCAGTGTTCACGTGGTTGCATTGACTTGGCCTCAAGCAAGACTTTTTGAATGCGCCTCAAGCGTATTGGTCGAACCATTACATCATCGAGGCCGTATACCTCAGTTTTTAGAAAAGTGACATAGCTGAATGAAGCGAAGATTTGGTTGAAAATTTTGTTCGATTTCAGGGTGCCGGAGCCGCCGACTGCTATAGAGCATGTGTATGAATATACCAAGGAAAAAATCTTGGACGTTATGGTGAGTGCTAGCATGCTTTCCACGTGCTTGTCAAAGTTTTCAACTGGTTTATGTTTTTTATGTTTAGTTTTCAAAGGTTTAAGTAGATGATGGCTGCGCGCACGCGGCTCGCTCAGTTTTTGAAAAACCTCTGAACATTGTATCATTCAGTCCTCCTCAAATGTTGCTGTATTCTTTTCGTTAGTGTTTGAGGTGTTTCTGGGGAGTAGGGGTTTAGGGCTCACCTGGCTTTTTCGCACACCCACTGTGAAGCCAGAGGCAACCAACTAATACGACCCCTCTGCTCGCAAACGCTCCTGGGTTGAACTAAGTCTTCCAGTCCCCTTCCGAAAAGGTTAATAGGTCGTTCGACCAGGACTGGTAATTCAGTCCGCCGAATCATTCACCAGTAATATTGATCAGCTATACCAACTGAATTATTTCGCTACTTTTCTGGGAATGTAACATTTTTGACCCAGTGCCCGGACGCCTGGTCCATCAAACTTAGGTCGCTCAACGACATCCGCTCTGTTGTGCATTCGAATCTTAGAAAACCTCAGTTTTAATCCAGTGATGGTTATCAAGCCCACCGTACCCTTCATATCCGGGAGATGGGAAGGCGTGGCCTCATACCTCATCTCTACATCAAAATAAAATGCTAAATGCGTTTTGCTATGGCATATTTCATTGAAACCACGCCGAAAACAGTTCTTCTGAGCAATCAAAAATCCCAATGGAAACGAAGGCCCACTACAACAAAAAGGGTTGTAAGTAAACCTCACGCCCTCTTAACATCGGGGATATCGGTTATACCGTGAGGACAAGAAGGTGGCTCACCCGCCCCAAAATTCCGTCTTCTTTGAAAACCCCGTCCCTTACTCGCCAATGTTCTATCGTCCCTTTCAATGCTTTAGCAGCCTTGACCATCTATCTGTGTGTGCTATCTCTGCACGACTGTGTCGTTTGCTCAGGCTTGTAAGGGGAAATAACCAGTAAGCCTGTCGCTTGAACCCTTCTCGCTGCTTCAGGCACCGCTTGGCATCCTGTGCTGGAAGAACATTTTGACAAGTCAACAAAAACTTGGAATATTAAATTAATGGCGCTTTCACAATAATATTCCCCAGTTTTTTCGTTGAAACTTCGCTCGGATGAGTTACTCAGTTGAGAGTTTTGTTTTTTGGGTAGTTTTTAGTTTGTTGTGCAAAGCAGTGGCAGGCAGACAAACAGGTCCACAAAGAGTGGCGACGAAAATTCTCTTCAAACTGCTAATTTTTCAGGAAGACAATCAAATGCTGTCAGTGATCGGAGTCGGAGGTTTGATACTGATCGTCGCCATCACCCTGATTATCAAAGCCTATCGAATTAAACAACAGGATAAGGCGAAGAGCGCCTAGACCACTCAATCAACTCATCAGAAATTTCAGTTTTGTAGGAATTTTAAATCGATTTTAATAGGCGCCCGTATCGATATGTAGACGTGGCGAGATTTGATTGGAAGTGGGTGTGTTTGGTGATGACGAAATCATTGCCATCCTTTTCAATACGCCATCATAGAGCGACCACTGTTTTGTCGAAGAGCTGGACTTCCATCGTGAACTTCTGTTTGTCATTTTTGAAAATATCTGGGCTACTGATTGGTTTCGCTTTCATCAGCCTTGCTTTAACTTCGAAAACTCGAAAGAACTTCCTCTTTTATTGCTTCTGGCGCACTAACTATACAGTCACTGAGACTTTCGAAAGTTTCGTATTTACTGGCGTTTTCTGGTCATTATAGGGCTTTATAACTGACAGCACTTTTCATACCGATTCACTGCAAAACCTCATAGTATCTAAACTGCTAATTTTTGAAAGTATCTAAACTACTAATTGGTTCCGACACACCTCATGTCTAAACTGTGAATTTAAGTCGTGTGGTGCTTAAAAGATGAACATCGTATTCCACAGGGGGCTATTGATAGTCTAAGCCGCTAAACAGATTCCATGGGGCAGTGTAGTCGTGACTAAGCTTAGGTTTGGAACTCTGGCCCAAATGCGCCCGAAGAGGCCTTTTACGGGGGGGCTATGGCAGAGCATCCGATCCTATTGTGCCACTTTAGAATGTGAGTCAAACGCTAGTCATGGAGGTCGCTTGGTCACACTAAGAGTCGGTAAGACTCTTTATCGTCCATTGTGGGGTAAGATTAGGGTAAACACAAGTAACTGCCTCCTAGCTCCACGTGGAAGTACCGGCGACATCATTTTGCGGTTGGAGCGTCGTGCCGATGAAAAACGTGGTCATTCAGCCCGACGATCCCAACCTCTAGTCTATCTAGCACGGTCTCCTTCAATCTGTAGATCTAGAATCACCCAACTCTTCTTTGGCTTATCAGTTTCGGGCACAACCTTGTGCCATGAGGAGGGATTTCCTTCTCCCTGAGTCTGAAACCCTCCGCTTTGTACTGCGTTTTGAACGGATTGCTTTTCGCGGCCAAACGCGACTCCCCTCCCCCCCCCTCCCTTCATACTCCCCAATGGCTCGTATACCCTCCCTTTCCTGAAATCCCCCCAACAACGATTATGCCTGTGGTTCTTTGCAGCCCTTAATGATTTACTGATTCACAACATACATGCCTGAGTTCTTGCATTCAATCTTGACCCATGAAAGTCCGGCGAAAACTCTTCGACGTGTCAGTGATCGACCCATTCAATCAGGTTTCGTGCTTGCCTTGAATTTCTTGTCATTTTCTAGTGATATTTTCCGAAAAATTTATTGCTAATTATGCGATGAAGGTAACTATGTGTGTGTCTGGGTGTGTTTTCCCAGTGATACCCTCCCTAGTTAGTGTATGGACTGTTTTACGATCGTCGTTTTAATTGTGTAATGTGTATGTGTGTATGTTAGAATCGGTCGCTAGGATACCGTCCGTCCGTTAGCTTTTCACAGACACCCTTGTTTTGCCACAACGGTTTTCAGCGTCCAATTACCTATACATTTTGATTTCGCCCCGCTCGTTCCCATAACCAAAAAACTTGCTCCGTGACCAGGACCTTCATGGGCCCTGCATCTCCCTCTTTTTCGCTGATGATCGACTCTTGCTCATTATTTTTCTTGTCTTACTGTATTTTTGACAACATCCTTAGAAATCAGTTTGTTTTCAGCTCTTTTCTGATTTGTCGTCATAAGGCATGTGTTTTTCGTTCGTAGCTGAGAATCGTACTTGGAGAAGGTTTGAATAAATTAATTTTTTATCTGCATGTGGAGGTGCAGCAGTGACAGGAGGCGCCACTTCTTCACAGTCTTGTTCGTTGAGGATGAGAGGACGTACCAGTGAAACTGTTTTCATACTTGGCGGCAGCGTCCACCAGCAACCAGAAGTACGTTATTGTGTCGTAGTACGGTTCGGTTGCACACGAGACGATTTCACGACGCCTAATCCAGCAGTCTGCTCCCATTACTTCCCACTGGTGTGCGCTGTCGCCAAGTATGAACGCAGCCTCAGGTTAGGTTTGACGTGTCGCCATCTGGTTCTCCGCCAGTTATTGATGGGAGTAAACAACAACAATGCAAAGAAAACGACCGATGCGAACGATATGATATAGTCTTATCGCCTGCTGAGAGGAAAGGAAAACAACGTGCTGGCGCTGCGCCAAACCCTTGACACGCCCCATCATTGTCACCGGATAACAGCATTACCGTGCGAACCGCATTCTCGCGTCTTTTCTCCCGAAACCGAATGAGCTAATCAGCCAACCGCTCACCCTACACTGCTTCAGACCAAGTAGAGCATATTTACCCTCTGGTATTCTGTCGTCTCTGGAAACCTGTCCACCTCGCTTATCTTGTACATGTAGCATTCCTGCCAAGTGAGAGTGCATGGCAGAGGGACCTCCTGGGAAAGACTGGCCAAATTTTCGAAATGCTGATAGGGAGTTGGAGCAATGTGATAGGGTGACATTCTGTGGGATGGGGCGTGAGGAAATTTTGGGTGTAGTGCTGACACCGCCACTTCACCCCTTTCCATATGGTACCCACCGGAAAATGTACGAGACAAAGATTGGGCACTGCTCTTTCTCCGTTAGCGTCAGGGAATTTGCTTCAGGCCGGTAGGGACTCTACTGCAATGATTTCAGACGTGTAAGTTAACGCGAAAGCTTGGTGGACACCAAGGTCCCATAGCGAAACACGCACTCACCGGTAGTGAACAACAAGAAGTGAGAGAGTGCAGCCAAGTAGCGCTTTTGGCTATAGTTGGGTGCGTGGCTGACCGTGTGGCAGCGCGTGCGGAGTATGGAGACGGCACCCGGTTATCCCCACCCTACAACTCAGTTTCCGTGAACTTTTTACTGGAGAAAGTGGGGCTTTACTGCAGCTGCGCACCCCTTCATCCCACCCACGGCAACAATCAGGATCACTGGAGTTGAGTGAACTGTTTGCCTTCCATAGCAAATCTGTCAATGCGTCAGTGCCCGACCTCACATGGCAAAGCCCATTTGCCAGAAACGTGTTGTCGACTTTTCGGGGGGAGGGGAGTTGGGAAGTGGGGGCCCTAGGGCATTCTGTCTTGTCTTCGCCCCTTCTGAATGTCATTTATCAGGCACCGAAGCTGTGTCTACGAGAGAGAAATCGTGATCAGCAGAACTAGGAAGCGAGATTACGCGCTTCGTCGTTCCACAACCGCTACCCACAGCCGCTAATGTTCGAACGTTAGCCCCTGATAATCTAGTGAAGTGCTGAACGTACGTAGCGAATCTCGATGGTCATTATTTTGTAGACTGTCAATGGGTATAGGAGCTTGGAGTGTTTCCCCTTCTTGGAAAAAAGCATGAACGTTGTTCACGACTTTCGGAAAACTCATATTGTAAACGCGGCATATCATGGTTGGGAGGGGACGTATTTGAAACTTCTCCGCTTAGACAAGAAAGCTTCTCACGATCAGAGTGGCCAACACTGGGCCAAATTTGATAAGTGCCTTCGTAAAGCACAGGAGAATTAAAACTTTTACGACTATTCTGAATGCTGACTATTCTCTCTCTCTCCTTCTAGTCCACGCCTGTTCATGCATTTCTTCATGCCTTTCTGATAGCTGGTTGGAGAGACACAGTTCGTCGGCAGACTTTCGAGCAAATCGTGGAATCTGGAAAAAATTTATGAATCGGAGGAGAAAATTCTTGAAGGCAGTTGGCACGATAGGACTCTAAAACGAGCAGGAGTAATACGCCTGGCAGAACGGTTCCGCGCCCTTGACCAGGCGCTGCGTAGCACCTTTTCCAAGAAACCTTCTCTTATAGAGCCCTATCAAGCTTCAACATACCTATTCAGACACCCATCGCGCCCACAAACGAACGACCGTACCTGATGCTCGTATTGCTTCATTTGCAAGGTAAAATATGAAGCCAATGGAATGACATGAAGCGGCTGCGGTGCTGCATGGATATACGACTACATACGTGCAGCTATCTACCGTAGCGGTTACTGGCAAGCTGCCTACGGGATTCTCGTCCAAAATTGCCTTCTGAGTCATCAAGAATGGAGGCTTCCTTCGCAGCTTATTGACCGTTTCGCTTCGTTTTTTCGCCATTTTCCACTATATAGCACCCTGCTAGCATTTTAGAACTAGTACGTCCCATATGCCTTCGAGGCGGCTAACTCAGTTTTGAGGCGAAGGTGGTATGGTGACAAGTGGTGCGCTTACCACTCGCGCAGTCCTGGGTTGAAAGTCCCGGTCGACTCCCGCCAAGACCAACCAATTCGCCTACCCTACACGGACAGTAAGTTAGTACCAGACTCGTCTGGGAGGATAAGAACGCTGACTTGTACATTGGCTGGCCCCGCAAGTCATGCCATAGGATACGTCGCATTCAGTAAGCCACTACGAAGCTCAACAGAAGTGGAACACATTATCCTTTTTCATCCCTTATGCCAGGATGTCACGTTGGCGGCGTCATTATATAATGGCAATGAAAATAAGTGGAAATAAGGAGTTTTGTGCGAAAACTGTCGAGAGGGGGGGGGGGTGTTAGCCCACTTGGAGGTCATATTTGGCCTAGGGAGAAACCTTCTCGTTGTTGTGAACCGAGATGCTATACTCAGAATGGAAAATGCTTTCCGGAGGGTCGTCTCTCGTAGATGGAGAAGACAGATAGCCGTATCCCCGGGATTTTTTGTTGTTGTTTTTTCCGTGTTTGCGTGCACCTCTTCATAGGCTTCGTCGGTGGCACGGCAATCGGTGGGAGGGGAGGGGCGTATTAAGGAGAAAATTCTAGCATCGCGATGATGTGAGCTAAATCCAGAGCGGTTTCCTCAGAAGGTTATCTTCGTCATCGCAGCCAATTACGTCAGTGGGGATCACCACGCAGAGGAACACACTCCCAGCAATGCCCACGCTTTTGGAAACGTTTATCAAAATGAATTTTC